GATTTGTTTTTGTTTTGTTTTTGAATGTCAGAAACGTATATTTGTGAATGTTGAGATGTTATATTGGTTTCACTGGTAATAATAAATAATTGAAATGGGTATAGATTTGTTTTTTGTTAAGTTGCCTAATAATTATGCACAGTAATAGTCACCTGCACACACAGATATCCCCCTAACATAGCTATAACTAAAACAAACTAAAAACTACTTCCAAAAATATTCAGCTTTGATATTAATGAGTTTTTTGGGTTCATTGAGAACATGGTTGTTGTTCAATAATAAAATTAATCCTCAAAAATACAACTTGCCTAATAATTCTGCACTCCCTGTATATAATATATGTCTGTAACGGCACCCCCAGGCATAAAAGGGTTAAACCGCTATTTAGAAGATCTTCCCCTTCCAGAGACACAGGCAGCTACTGTAGACACCAATCCACCGAACCGGAGAAGCATATGAATGCTCTCAAACATACGAATACTGTAAACAGCCGAATAGGAAAAACCATACAAATAGGTTTACACTCCTAGCAGTCAAACTGGAACAGCATACAATAAATCCCCCCCACAAACGAGACAAGGCTCCGTTTTGATAGTCAAGCAGGCACAGACAGAGCTGTGGGTTTATTGTTCTTATATACACATTAGTACCACCAACAGGGTTTTGGAAAACAACCAATAAACACATACAATACACTCAGACACTCCCACACAAAATCCTCCCCTCTGCCTGTGATACAATTACCTTACACAATAGGTAATGTAATTATCACAGGAAGAGAAATACAGTTTTTCCACATTATTCATAATTTTAAGAGTATGCATCACATTCAGAATCAGCATACTCCAAATACAAACATACGTCAAAATCATACAAATTGGTCCAGTGGTTCAAAAGATAGATCGTAGTCCTTTGTGACCAAATGAAGCATGGCTTTTCTGCCCAAAACCAGTTCCACAGAGTCTTCTATCCTGGAGATAATTGGGAAGTAATCCAATTATCTCCAAGGATAGAGGCAAAACTCCACTGAACACATGGCAGCAAAAGACAATAAAATACATAAAAATATATAACTGTGCAGCCATTGCATAAAACAGGTACATTCAACATATCCCCAGATAGCTCAAATCTGAGCGCACATTATTACTGAATGGCGTTCAGATCACACACATACAGTTCAATTGCCATGGAGCCAAAGGCTTTCCCATAGTCTTTCATTATACAAATGGGCTTCATGACATAGCTATCTGGGGTATCACCGTTCAAGCAGGGCAAGCACCGAATGACCCGGCTTTCGTGTCTTTGCAGGGGGGAATCAAGCGTTTCAACATGGGGCCATAGTCTAAAGGCAGGAGGCGGGCAACCAGGCTCCTCCAATGCACAGTGGCGAGACTGGTCTCGTCACAATGTCTATATATATATATATATATATATATATATATATATATATTCATACTAAGTGTATTTTTATATTAATATGTACATATATTAATATAAAAATACTTATAATTAAATTATAATATATAATATATATAATTATATATTGTAAATATATTATAAAATACAAATAAGTTATTTAAATTAAATAAAAAAAATTGAATCTATATGAAATTTTATTCTAACTATTTTGATAATATATATTTATATCGAAATACACAGAATGAAATTGTATATATATCTATGTATATATAAATAAAAATAATACAAAATATACATATGTCCATATACAAAAATGTCATAATTAAATATAAACGTAGACTTCAAATTTATAAATATGCATATATATTTAAATTCTACATGCGTATTTATGTAATATTTTTACATAATTAAGTAATTTTATTGATTGCAATTTGAGGGACCTGCCTGACAACCCAGGCCAAAAGTCCAGAGAATTTAATTTGCTAGCACTGTATTTTACCCTGTAACGTTCTACGACACCCTAAAACCTGTACATGGGGAGTACTGTTTTACTCGGGAGACTTCGCTGAACACAAATATTAGGGATTCAAAACAGTAAAACATATCACAGCAATGATAGTCAATGAAAGTGACTTTTTTTGCATTTTTCACACACAAACAGCACTTTTATTGATGATATAATTGTTCTGATATGTTTTCCAGTTTTGAAACACTAATATTTGTGTTCTGCAAAGTCTCCTGAGTATAACAGTACCCCTCATGTACAGGTTTTATAGCGTTTTTGAAATTTACAGGGTCAAAAATATATGGGTCAAATATTTTTACATTGAAAATGGCCAGGTTGGTTACATTGCATTTGAGAGCGTATGGTAGCCCAGGAATGAGAATTACCCCCATGATAGCATACCATTTGCAAAAGAAGACAACCCAAGGTATTGCAAATGGGGTATGTCCAGGCTTTTTTAGTAACCACTTAGTCACAAACACTGGCCAAAATTAGTGTTCAATTTAGGTTTTTTTTACACACAAACAAATATGAATGCTAACTTTGGCCAGTGTTTTCGACTAAGTGGTTTCTAAAAAAGACTGGACATACCCCATATTGAATACCCTGGGTTGTCTACTTTAAAAAAAAAAAAAAAAATATGTACATGTGGGGTGTTATTCAGAGATTTATGACAGATAGTGTCACAATGTCACTATTGATAAGTTTTAAAAATGTATGTTTTGAAACCGCAATGTCCTACTTGTACCTATAGCCCTATAACTTGCAAAAAAAAAAGCAAAAAAGCACGTAAACACTGGGTATTTTTAAACTCAGGACAAAATTTTGAATTTAGCATTTTTTTTTAATTCGCTTTTGTAGATGAGTAAAAGATTTTTCAAGTAAAAGTAAAAAAACATGTATTTTTTTAAATTTTTCATCATATTTTTTCATTTTTTAAAAAATTAAATTACATGAGATTATATAAATAATGGTATGTAAAGAAGGCCCCTTTTGTCCTGAAAAAAACAATATATAAAATTTGTATGGGAACAGTAAATGAGAGAGCGGAAAATTACAGCTAAACACAAACACCACAAAAGTGTAAAGATATGCCTGGTCGCAAATGTACATCGCAAAAACAAGCCGGTCCTTAAAGTACCACTGTAGGCACCCAGACCACTTCAGCTTAATGAAGTGGTCTGGGTGCCAGGTCCCTCTAGGATTAACCCATTTTTTTTAATAAACATAGCAGTTTCAGAGAAACCGCTATGTTTATAAATGGGTTAATCCAGCCTCTAAATGCTCTACTGGCTGTCTCATTGACAGCCGCTAGAGGCACTTGCGTGCTGCTCACTGTGAAAATCACATTGAGAAGACCCCAGCGTCCATGCTTTCCTATGAGACCGGCTGAATGCGCGCGCAGCTCTGGAGGAGGATCGGAGGCAGAGAGGAGGAGGAGAGCTCCCCGCCCGTTGCTGGAATAAAAGTAAGATTAATCCCTTTCCTCGCCATCCAGCCCGGCAGGAGGGGGCACCCTCAGGGCACTATACTGCCAGTAAAACGAGTATGTTTTCCTTGCACTATAGTGGTCCTTTAAGGGTTTAATGCAATAAATTGTTTATTCATCTCAATCATTGTTCTTTAAGAGTATACAAGCAAAGTGTCCAGTAAATTTTAACTGGCTTTAAACCTTGTGAGTAGATCCAGTTACTTATATTTAAGTTACACTATTATGCAGTAATTACTCTATGTCCTTTTAGTACTCCCAGGTGCTTTTTCACTACAAAGGAGGGAACAGGACTGTATTTACCATCTCTATTGAAGTCTGGTACTCTTGACCTTATAGGGATATTTTATTCTAAAAAAAAGTATGTGTGGGGTTATTTGACAGGAGGGCCTGAGTGTGTTGGTGGGGTGAGTGTTTGGAGGCAAGTGTGACAATGTGATTTTGAGGTTGAGTGTGGAAGGTGACTGTTTGTAGGAGGCTGAGTACCTGAGCGTTCTTGTGACAAGACGAGATCTTCCCACAAGAATCTGTGTTGAATTTTCCATTCTGAGCGTTCTTGTGACAAGACGAGATCTTCCCACAAGAATCTGTGTTGAATTTTCCATTCTCTTTCTAAAGAAACAAAATCCTCACCAGAAATCTTTTTAAATAAGGATTACGACTCCAAGACTGATACTACGTTTTCGGAATACTTACTCATTTACTTTATCACTGTTAAAGGTTTATTATTAGATTTTATTGTGCCTTTCCCTTGTCTTGTTTTTTACTTTACATATTATCTGGTTCCTACACTACTATGCCTTTGCTTTATCCTGTTTAGATTTTTTAGTTCCTACTCGAGTTTAGGGAATGTGGAGTAAATACCCCTTCACAGGTGTGCTGCTTCTTGCGTTGTTATCCAGTGTTGCCCTATTCTCGTTTGTTTCCCACTACAAAGCATAAATGCCCATCTGATCTAAAAGAAAACCGTGATCCATCAGACCAGTCAAAACACCTTTCTATCATGGCCAGCATTAAGATTTTCAGCAATTTCAGCTATTGTAGCTCTTCTGTGTGATCAGACCATGCAGGTTAGCCTTCGCTCCCTACATGCATCATTGATCCTTGAGAGCTCATGACCTTGACACAGATTCACTACTGCACACCAAGACAACAAGACTTGCCATTTTGGAGATTCTTTGACCCAATTGTCTTCATCACTATTTAGTCCTTGTCAAAGACACTCAGTTCTTTATCCTATTTGTTGACAGGTACCATTGTAATGATATAATCAATGTTATTCACTTCAGCTATCAGTAGTTTTAATGTTGTGGCTGATCAGTGTATGTTAGGTTTGTTTTATAAGATACCCTCCAAAGACAAAATTTAAAAGGGCAATTACATTTTTTTTGGCTAGTGCAAGTATACATATAACCAGGCAATGTAAAACACAGCCTCTCAAACTCACTAAATAAAATTAAATATATAAATTTGCAATAAGAAATATAGTTTACAAAACCACAGCATTCTAAATACCTTATAATTCACCTATTTTACAGACCTGGATAATTTGGCCTAAATCTTGCAATTAGGTTTTCAATGCATTGTAAAAAAAAAATAAAAGTAAAAGGAAGACAAACTATATACTTGTTTACCAAACAAAAATTTAAATCTTTATTATAAAATACAAAAAAAGTCTTTAGGTCACCACTCTCAACATTACCTAAAAGATAAACTGCACAGTATATACACACACACACACACACACACACACACACACACACCTTAAAGTGGCATTAATGTGACAAAACACTAAGAGGTAGAAACATTTATAAATGTTTAAGACAATGAGCACTTTATACAACATGTACCTGGTCTCAATATATTGTATTTCCTGGCCGGCACGGCCATATTTATTGGGTGCAATAAATATCCAGTAGTCGGGAAGCGAAGTATCAATTATCAACTCTTAATAAATTCCATTCCCTGTGTAGAAACCTTTTTTTCCTGTTCCTGCAGGGATTTGAAGGGGGGAAAAAACATAGGGCTGCTACCTGGCTTCAGATTCTACATTCCTAAGAGTAAGGTTTCTTAGTTTGGGGCCGGTGTGCTATCCTCCACATCCTCTTGACGCTTCAAATACACCATAGTTATACCCTCCCTTCTTGGCTTAAGGATTGCCCATTAGAGATGCTGCCATGTTGGCCAGGAAATAAGAAAAATCTTAACCATACTTACCAGATTTTCTTTCCTTGGTCATTTACATGGCAGAATTAACTTCCCATCCGTCAGTGGAGGCTTTATAAGAAGACAAAAGGCTTCTACAGAGGGAAGGGTATTTATTAACATTTGTTAATTTATACTTCCTGTCCTGACTGTAGAGTTAGGATAAAACCCATTATTGGTGCGGTCATGGAAATTGCCAGTAAAAGAAAACTCCAGTAAATTAAAACTGCCACCTAATGTATAAAGGGAGGTATTTTAGGGACTTCTCTGCAAAGAAATGAAGAGCTAGTTAGATAGTAACATTTATAGAATTTACCACCATGCATTCTCCAGTTCACTCCCTTCCTCACCACCTCTTTGAAAACAGAAGAAATATGTTTATTCGACAGTGGGTATTATAGGAATATGGGTGGTATTAACATTATTAGTAAGCACATTTAGGCTTCTGCATACTGTGCACACATCTTGTGTTTTATCCATTCTTTCCATTTTAGATTAGAAGCTTGCACAGGTTCTCAAAACTCAGAGTATTGGTTTCGGTTTGTCAAGTTGTTAATATAGTACATCACTTATTAATTTAAAAAGGAACATTCCAAATACCATAACCACTACAGAGGTGTCAGGAGTTATACCCCTATTGTGAGCAGCTAAACCATTTTATAATGGTAGAACTGCTTACCTGGGGTTCCAAAAGAGCCAGAAGCTCCTCCTTAGGAACTTTCGTTATCTTTCCTGAAATAATCCTTGACATGTAGGGCAAGCTAATTTTTTGCTGTATCTGCTCTATCCCAGGTGTAACAAAAAGATTTTTGAATTGACTTGCAGAGTAAAGATTTCAACGTTCACCCACATTTGTTTACATACTCCTTGCATCATGATCACAACTAAACACAGAAGTGGTCATGGTGTTAGAGTAAACCGGTTCCTCCAAATATATAAAAGATTAATAATTATTATGATAACGTTAAACTACCCTAACACTTCCAGATATTTATTTGGTGTGAGTGCTGCAATGTTTTAGAAGGTTTCCATTTCTTTTAAAACATTTACCACATTCAGAGCATGAGAATGGCTTGATTGCCAAGTGACACTTTTGATGTCTAATAAGAAATGCATCAGAAGTGAAATATTTTCCACATTCAGAACACGTGTACTTTTTTCCTTGATGAAGCTTTTTCTGTGGAATAATGTCAAATTTATAAAAAAAATATTTGCCGTCTGGATGAGATCTCATATGTTTAACAAGGTTTACTCTTTGGGTCAACACTTTTCCACAATCCGAGCCCACAGACATTTTAGTGCTTGTATGAATTTTCTGATGTGTTAGAAGTTCAGATTCTGAAATGCAGTGTTTTCCACATTTAGAACAAGAGAATTTCTTTGTATTGAACTGATCCCACTGATGCTTAACAAGTTTTTCGTCTGAAGAAAAACATTTCCCATATTCTGAGCAATTAAGAGGGTTCTTCTCTGAGCTAGTGGATGGCTGTTTGAGAAGTTCTACATTACTAATAACATGCTTCTGATAATAAGAGCAGTTGTGGTTGGTGCTTGATCTTTGGTGATTTGTATAGGCGGAACTACTATTAAAGCTTTGATCACAGTCCTTGCATTTTTTTATTGATAAGTTGGGCAGAATTTTTGCAAAGATGCCAGTTTTGATTTTCTCCCTTGAATGTACATCTGCTTGTTTTTTTTCACCTTCTGGAGGAGTATAAGTAGCATGTGCCTTGTGATGTTTATGGGAGGTAGAGTTATGTTCAACAAGTGTATGTGCATTAGTGTTTGTAAAAATGATGAAGCCTTTATGTACGGGAAATCTCTCCTTAATAGGATTAGTTTTATATTCTATCTGTGGTACACTTGTGTAAGTGGCAGTGCCTGTGCTATATTCGTTATCCCATAATCCTGGTTCTTCTTTAATTGTGCTAATGTTTGCCTGTATATGTTCTGTAGCTGCAGATTTGTTTAAGTTGATATTTCCTTCAGCCTGCAATGATTTCTCAATAAGAGGAGTTGTGCGTTCTGTAGAACGGTAAAGGTCTGTGAAATAATTTTCTTTGTAGGAGGTAGATTCATCTTTAGTGTATGTTGTTGTGTATTCTGCCAGCACATGATCTGTGGGTATATATCTGTTACGTTCGGGAGGTTTTACTTTGTCCCACAAAGCTGCATCCTGGCTTATACAAATAGATGTCTGTTCTATGGTTGTATGGATATTAGAGTCTCTAATATTACTCGAGAGTGATATTTCATTGATGTGATTAGAATGGAGCGATCCAGGTTTATCATTGGCAATATCTACAGGATTTTCTTTCACATACAATTCAGATTTTTGTTTACTTGTACTTGTTTTTTGAGTTCTGAAACATTTTGTATCCAAATTCATTTTGGCATCCTTTATATCTTCAATGAAGTTATTGGAGGACAAATTAGCTTGGTAAATTCCTCTCTTTCTGTTTCTGCATTTCAATCCACCTACAGAATGGAAATAAATGCAATAATTAAAATTGGCTATAAAATCCAGTTAACACTTTTTTGAGCTTTATTTTCTACAAAAAAATGTTGTTGTGAATAATTCATAAACCAGAAGGGTATACAACTACTATGCTATGGTTGTGAAATACAATCCTCTGCAACATACAAACAAGATTGCTTCATTGTCAGTGCATAAATGTACTTTGTCACTTCCATTTCACCAACAAAGTGAGATAAGTGCTTGCCAGAGTAACATTGGCAAGTATAGAGCATATCTTCAGTAGCCTGGCTGTGATGTTTGCCTTCCCTTCCTCTTGCCCACCTCATGAGTTGGCAACTGCTTCGCATGTATGAAAAGTGGAAGACACACAAGTCTTGCGAGACTGAAGAATAAGGAAGCAATGGTAAGGTAAGTATGCTGGGAGTTTATACTTGGTAAAGGACGTGGATGGAGCTTACCTTAAAGAAACACTATAGGCTCAGAAACACAATCTTAATCTTACTTTAACTCAAGTCTGCAGCTGCTGGCTCTGCCCTGAGTTGCCTGTTTGGCTGACATCAGAAGTGATTCTCTGAGCCAATCACAATGCTTTCCCATAGGATTGGGGGAGACTGTCAAGGAGGCAGATCAGGGGAAGAACCAGCACAAATCAAACAAAGCCCTGGACAATAAGCAAAATCAATGCATCTCTATGCGGAAGGTGCAGCACTATTCCAGGAAGCACATCTAGCAGCTAAATGAGCAGTGGAGGTATCTAGACTAATGTAAACATTGCATTTTCTCTGAAAAGGCAGTGTTTACAGCAAAAAGCCTGTAGGGAATGATTAAACTCACCGGAACAAATACAATAAGCTGTAGTTGTTCTGGTGACTTAACATGTCAAGCGTGAAAAAAAAATAAAAAATAAAGTAGTCCCTCCTTTGCCTTTTGTATTTCAGGGAGAAAAACAGAGTCCCTAAGTTGCACTAAATATAGATTATATATATATATTCCACAATCCTGCACTCACATTTGTGATGTATGTGCCACGGTGCTCCTTCAGCTAAGTTTACATAAATATCTACGAAGAAATGCACACGCTGGACTTCTTAATCAGGAAAAAGTGTATTTTTTTTTAATAAAACTCAGGTTACATCATAGCGACGTTTCAGTCCATATCAGGACTTTCATCTGTGTCATAAAATAGGTTACCAATTAACAATGATCTCATTAAAACAGACAAGATATGACAAATTGCTTTCCAAATTTAGCTTATGTAGAACAGGGCAATATTTTAACTGTGCATTGTTAAAACGTATACAAAGAAAACAACACTTACCCAGTGAGCCAAGTAAGGAACCACTCTGCATCACATCCCTGTATAGATGCTGATTTTTTATAAGATAATCCCACTCTTCCAGTGTGAAGTAAATGGCAACATCTCCAGTGTTTATTATAACCTACATCACACAAAATAATACATTCAACATAATAGCTTGATCAATATTTCAATGTTTAATATTCCATGCCTATGAACACTTACCTGTCCAGTTAGCAGTTGAATGATGTTATTTGCTAATTCCAAAACTTTTTCTTCATTCTTTTTCACATCAACCTCCATGGTTGGGCTGTTTGCAGCACTGTCACCAGGTTTCTTCACAACAATTAAATCCTTTAAAAAGACCATAGGGTTAACACACATAAAAATCACATCAACATTTCATACAAAGAAACCTTAAAGAATGTTCACTGTTCAATGAGGCTAACAGCCACCTGACTTTGTAACACTATTCCAATGGAATGAACTAAAATTAGGACACCTTGGAAACACTTTACCCTTATCAGCGACACAGATTCCCAAATAAATCCAACATTGTTTTCTCTAAGTTTGGTAAATGAGATTTCTCACCTCTCCAGTCATCAAGTGGATGATCTCCAGTGTAATTTTTAGTATACTCTCTGTGATCCAAGGTTGGTCCATTTTTAATGTTTCTGGTGTCAGCCAGCACCACTTTGGAGGTTATATTTACCTTGAATTGATATCTGTGCTTAAACGTATAAATGGAAATATTTGAGTAAGCATTGTATATCACACTAAATGTGCACCCACCAAATATATATATAAAGTTCCCACTGAGACAAACTTCAGGTCAGTAACAATACAGGACAATGACTGGGAACAGAGAATGAAGCTTGACTGGTAATACAGAACGACTAACAATGTTCATGAAATATTGAAACATAATAGGTTGGTGCAGATAACAAAAACAAAAACAAAAAAACGATGGAAAGTAATTTGCATCCCTTTTATATGTTAGTAATTCATATCACAATTGATATCAGAAGTGACAAGGATATCTAATTGTGACGAAAGTAACTTCGCCACTGGCTTTTGGAGGGGCCTGTTTGCCAGCCTCCTACCCTGTGACCATGGCCCTGTATTAAACCCTATTTGAAAACACCAATTGTGCTTCTTGGACTTATGACAGGAGCTGTTCGTTAAATTGTGACAGTATGGTTCGTTAACCGAACAGCCGCGCGATCCGGAGACCACCCTGGAGCTTGTTAAGCTTAATGGATACATGGTTGCAATTTCCCCCTCTTTGGTCTAAGTGTTCGTCTGGGTTGCCGCAATTCCTATGGACAACCACGAGGTGGCGACCATCTTGTTCGAATGGACAAAAACCGAGAATGCCCTGGAACTATTTTCAGCATGAAAACCTCACGGTTCCCCACCAGTCCTCCAGCGGCACTTAACCACGATTCTATGGAACTATTTTCGGCCATGGGACCATGCCTGCGGTCGGTAAAAACTGACTTCCATAAAATTTCTGAACCGCTGAACTGATCTGGGTGATTTTTGGATATGTTGGTCACCCAGATCAGCGCTATCAGGGTATGTAACTTTGTGAGGTTTTATGCATTTTTAGGGTACTCTTGGGGTGTAAAAAAAAAAAAAAAAAGTTTTTTCTGTGGTTGGAGATAATTGGATTAGAATTAGTACAATTACTGATCCCCTTATCTCACAAGCAGGAGGAGGGATTCTATGTTTGTTATGGGAGTGTCGGGCATTTAATCACTGTTCTTATTGGTCTGTGTCTTTGTGTTGGAGTCCCCAACAAGGTCCATGTGGGCGTATCCCTTTCATGGGGATTGTCATAAAAGGCCAAGTTTGGCTCCCATTAAATTGAGATTCGTTTATCCCTTCATGAAGTCTTAGCTCATGTTTGGGGGATTAGAGAACTTCATTCACACTGGGGATTGCTATAATCACTAGCTCTTATAAGAGCTGTTCCTGCTACACTCTCTGGACTAGGAGAGTTCTACACACTGGAAGATGCATCCTGGTCTTGAGTCCAGGGTGGGTGGAGGACAGCGAGACCCCAACCAAGATGCGGCGGTTCTTGGGGTTTATGGTGGTTATGGTGTTCCAGTACAGTGCTTTTGGTGCTCGCAAGTACTAGGAAGCAGCAATTGATGGAGGTACCCGGTCAGGGTGCTAGACGGTCCGTCACACTAATTAAACAGGCTTATTCACTAAAGTGCAAATGCAAAGTGAATTTCAAATTTAGGGCCAGAGTAGCTTCCCTTATGCCATGGATTTTGAATTCTGCCCAGTCACGTTCTCTGCCCAAGCGCTTGGGATAATAAATAAAACTGTAGAATATTGCATATGCCATGTTTCTATTGATTATGTAGGGATGTCTGGATTGACATAAGTAACAGATGGTATCACATTCACAAGGTTTTCTTTGTCTGAAAAGTCTGGAATGTGGATTGGGGGTATTGTCCTTATATGGCTAGGGTTATACTCGGATGTAATTATAGTCTAGGGGTCGACAGATTATCGGTTTTACCGATATAAATTGGACAATATTCTGTATTTTCGGCAATATGGGTATTTGCCAATAGAGATACCGATAATACCTCCTAGGACTGCCAGGCCCCTGGGGGGGGGGGCGGGCAGCAAGCGTTTACTCACCTCTCAGCAGCAACTCCAGCTCCCCAGTGTAACTCTTGCGAGACCCGCGGCCATCATAGCGTTGCCATGCGTTACCATGGCAACACTCCGCACGACACGCTGGCCGCGAGACTTACAATGGGGAGCTGCTGGGAGGTGAGTAAACGCTTGCTGCCCGCCCCCCCACAGCTCAGCCAATGCCACTGGACCACCAGGGATTGCTATATCCCCCCTCCCTGGCCAAGTATGAAACAGGGAGGGGGGACAACAAAAATAAGTAAATATAAAAAACTAATTTAATAAAAAATGCCCCCTCACACACACTCCATTATATACACATACACTACACAAACACAATGTGTATATAATGCAGAGTGTGTGTATATAATGCACACAATCACACACACTATACAAAACACACTGCATTATATATATATATATATATATATATATATATATATACACACACACACACACACTATACAAACACACTGCATTATATACACACACACACACACAAACACTATACAAACACACTGCATTATATACACACACAGCATTATATAAACACACTATACAAACACACTGCATTATATAAACACTATACAAGCACACTGCATTATATACACACACACTATACAAACACACTGTATATAATGCAGTGTTTATATTATGCAGTGTGTTTGTGTAGTGTGTTTATAATGCAGTGTAAAAACCAAAGAAAAGAAAAAAAAAAAAGTTACCTGCGCTCTCTGCTTGGCCATTGGAGGGAATGCCAACGTCAAGGCAGACCCTCTTGAGTGGGTCCTAACATTGACCCTTCCAGCCTGCTTCCTTGAGCTTCTGGCAAAGATATCTCTAATGAGACAGAGGGGTATTTTTTATATACACCCCTATATACTTATTAACCCTTAATAGGGAACACATGGGATGGGCGGCAGCATTGTAACCAGGCTGTGAGATACAAAGTAAATACAAATACAAAAAGAGAAGTCCTGCACTCACTCCCATCACTACTGGGCCGACAGCAAGGACTACAGTACACATCAGACCCAATATATAGCTCTCTCCCTATGTATATTTAGACAAATGGAGGTCATTTAGTTGCTCCAATGGCCATTGGAGGGAATGCCCGCCTGCCAACCACTGCAGGACTTCTCTTTTTGTATTTACTTTGTATCACACAGCCTGGTTACAATGCTGCCGCCCACCCATGCTATCGGCCTGAAAGTTCACAGAATATCGATATCGGCTCTAAAAAAAAATCAATATCGGTCGATCCCTATTATATAGTCATATCAATATAGAATAGAATAGTGAACAAAGGAGCACGAAGTTCTTCTTCTTGTCTGAGTGTCTTCAGCAACCCAGCAATTACTATCTGCTGTTGAACATCCATTATCCTGTAACATCCTTTGCTGTTTTATTATGGATTAGTAACCGTAAGTCAGATTGCGTATTAGTATTATTGGTTAATATAGACGTATATTAACATGATGAGCCTTTTACCCAAGAAGAAATATACCGGTACATAAAAGCATATTTCAATCAACCTGGAAAAACACACATAAGAAGCGGAATTTATTACATTGGCTGGCCAGCCAGCCAGCCAGCCAGCCAGTCTTCTATTCAAGTTTTTTCCCCACTTCCAGGGGGGGGGGAGAGAAGAATCAAGTTACAAAGCTGAGTTTTGGAACTGGAAAAACATACCTGAAGAGAGGGGAAACAAATAAAATAGAACCTATACTGTGTCACAGAGACTAAGAATATTTGCACAGAAAAAGAACCATGTGCAGAACTGTGTTTTTGTATGGGGGAAAAAAAAATGTAAAAGCAGAAAGACCGTACAAGATTATTTTCTGCAACGGAGAAAAAAAGCACAAGCTACAACGTGAATTCTAGAAGCAAGCACGTGTTAGAGATTGGCAAGCGTCCAGAATCAAGCCCAGAACTGCGCAGCTGTGTGGATGAAGCAACTAATTAGACAGAAATAACTGATCTGGTAAAGCGTGACAGATCCTTGTGGCAAAAAAATTAGGAAAGCATTCCTTTACACAACTAGACATGGGCTGTTGTAAAAAGACTTCATCTGACCTGCAAACTGTGATGGAAGATTCTACAGATTTAATTTAATACAGAAGATTAACAGACTTAAAAATAAATAAATGATTAACACTAACACATATATCAATTCCTAAAGAAGAAAACAGACAATGAAAAATGATTTAAAAGTTACGAGTGTATTAATACCAAAAGAGAGTACTTTTAAATGTGTAACACATGAAGTAAAATTTTATAACATGACAGGAGGCTTCGTATTTGCTTAAGTCTCTCTTCACTAGAACTCCACAGCAGCACAGAAAAACAACCAATCAGAAAAAAGTTAGGTACTATAAAACTCCCCTCCCCATGCATCATTTCCTCTTTCGTTGCTGCTCCGCAGTCAGTACAGGTCAGAGTACCACTGCCTCCTGCTTATAGTTGGTGGCTTTGGGATTTTATTATGATTTATGATTATATTTAGTTATCATATTATATATTTATTTTATATACATTATATTTTGTTATAAGATTATATACATTATTTTTAGTTATATTTACTTTCTACATTGTATTTAGTTATATTTTATATACGTTTATATTTAATTATATATATTTATTATATTTAGTTGGATTCATGTCCTTTTGAATCTTCTGGGCTTTCCCTGTTTCTTTGGGGATGTTTTCCAGTCGTTGTGGGGGTTTCTGGGGATACCTTCAGTTTGCTCCCCTTTGTGTTCACCCTCCTCCTCACCCCCACCCCACTTTCCAGCACCCTTCGCGGGCTGCGGGCCCTTTTACTCGGGGTATCAGAAGACTAGCTGTTTAAAAAGGCTGTCTTCTCTGACTCCCCGAGCTCCAGTGTGAACTTGCCGGCGCCTGGGGCTTCTCACGGTTAGACGCGAGTACCTGGCGGCCAGACCTGCTTGCGCACGTGGCAAGCTCCTTCAAGAGCCACGTGCACCCGACCGGGGAGAGGAGGGTGCACCTGCTCACGGCCCTTCCTCCACCCATGGCGGTCGGACCGAGAATTTTTTCTCATGCTGGGATTCTGGCTGTCACTAAGCTATTATACAATAAAAGTTCACTGGAAAAAACTCCAGGATCAGTGTTTGAAAGTCACAGGTTCAATTCTGGAATAGTCATCTATACAATTTCTTGCAGAGCCAGTTTGATCAGGGGTGGGCACACCTTTGCACTATTCATCTAGCGTTCTTATGCTCCTATCCTTGTGCTTCCCTATATATATTCCTGGTCCATCTCTGGGTCAGAAATGAGACTGCTATAGTGTGATTATGCACTGTCTATGGCTAGTGTATTAAGCTAAGCAGAGCTAGCTCTGGCTCTAACTGGTATGGGAGACCAGCCTATGCTGACACTAATTCTTTTTTATCAGGTTCTGTGACTAGTAGAGTGGAAGGTGGTCCCTTCCGAACTCAATAAGGGGACATATTGAGTTGGCAATTGTTTAGCCCTACTCCTGAAATATGCCACGGGTACAATACCCTTCAGGTGGTATGCTGATGATGCATAATATTGAAGAAGGAATCTCAAACAGGTCTGCAGGTTCATGTGTATAACCTATTCACAGTTAAAAATGAATCGTTTAGTATATCATGGTTTAATGGACACTATATTCACTGGAACATTTTCAGACTATATCCACTACAGCTGGAATACCACTTTTTGCCTGCTGGGCATTTAGGGACTGCTAGTCCCAGTTAAGGTTTATTTACACCGTATTACGCTGTCTAAAGGGGTTGGCGTCTGGGGATCCTATATCACAGGGTACCCTGAAAAATTATAGATATTTAGGGAACACTACCCTAACACCGGGGTCCCTTATTACCCATTTAGACGCTACCCAGGATTGGCAAGCTAGGTCTGCGCCCATTTGATTGGCCTGAGCTATCTGGGCCCAAAACCCCTTTTGTCCGCAGGCCTGGGAAGATATCACGGAGAAGAGCCCAGTACCCACTATTGACACGGAGATCAATGGGTGCTCAGGCAAGCACTGCTGCATTACTATCCAAGAGGAAACCAGTGTACGGGCGCCTAAATATGATTAGAAGGGTGAATGCCCTACACCTCATGCCCTGAGGGGCAAGGTTTTGTTTTTTTATGAGAATCCCCGGGCGCGACACCACGGTTTACACCTACCCGGCGGCGGCACATCTCCAAAGAGAATTTCGCAGAAGCTGGGACCAGTGCTCAGGCGCCAACAGGGGAGCACGGGTGCCTTGCCTTCAGCAACTAACCATCTGGCTGCCTTCCCGGTATCCGTCTTAGCTATGGGTAGTTAGTCCTACATTGTGTTTAGCCCCTGACCTTTTCAGTTGGGTTTACTTGACTTGCTGTTCCGATCTGCTACTTACCTTCTCTCCGAGGTACGCATTTACCGTTATCTACATTATTTGTCGTTTCTTGGTTTTCGAGCCTTCCAATTGTCCTATCGCTCGGGTCGTCAAGAGGCCTGACTTGACCTCCCCTGACATCCCGGGAATTGCGGAGAACGTCTCCATCTTTCCTCAGGCTACCGACGGTCCTCCTGGCTCCCGTGCATGGGATCCGGGCGGTCAGTTGGTAGTTTCCATCATTGTTTCCGAAAGGTTGCATTTTCTTTCCATCCCTTTCTGTTATTAAGGATGGACACGGCTGTATACGATTCCATCTTCCATCGGTCTGGATTTTTACCAGTTGATTCCATCTCAGGTGAGTGACTCAGAGAGAGACCCACCGCAGGATCTCAGGCTTATGCTGATATTAGTAAACGGTGTACCCCTGCAGTTGGTTACCCTGGGTATCTAAGGGACTCCTAGTTTGGATTACTAGAGGGTATGACCCTCCATCACCTTGATCCGAGAATTATATTTTATTCTCACGAACAGAGAGCGTACCCTCATATAAAGGACCCGGACACTGATTTGTTATTAGAGGGCGCGGCCCTCCCTCAACCTCAGCCCAATGCTGAGCTGGATAGGGAGGACAAGTTTTGAGTGACACATTCTCGTAAAGGAAACCGGACACGGATGTAGACTCAACTGTTTGGTTATTAACGGGTGCAACCCGATCAGGCTATTAGCCGGACGCTGACACGGAATTCGGTCACATTATTAGCAGCTCTCTCATACACTCAGTGCACTACGGTGCCGTCCATTTGTACATCACGCAGGCTTGCAGGGTGGAGAATTTCTAGAACAATAAGTATTGTCAACAACAGGAACATTATTTGAAGAATTATTGTAGAACTTTATGGATGATGATAACCTTTGAATGTTTAAAATAATATTGTGAGTCTTATAAGTGAAAGTAGAATATTTCAGGTAGAGTCTAGTGAATATACAAATTGAATACTATGATTATAAAGTACTAATGCAATCGTAACTAGGTGGTATTAATGGTATAGGAATGTAATTCATGAATACATATGACCTAAAGACTAAGTTCAATAGAAAACATGATTCGTGGAAATATAAGTGGATGGGATATAAAAGTAATATATGTATTAGTACTTAAGTAATAGAGATTCTTGAGAATGAAAAATACTTTGTTATACAAATCTGAATTAGGATTATGATAGTGATACACAGTTATTATTTAGAAAGTTGCAAGATATTGATTTTGTTGTCTAGAAAGATGTGACTGTACCAGAGCACGTAGATCTTTCTCATTGCTTTGCAAAGTCTATTGGGTGAAAACTTTCTAAATTTTATCCATTTATTATTTTATATGTACACATTATTTCAAGTAGTTATGATGTAAAATGGATATCAATACATAGCTGAAACAGAGGGAGTTTGAAGTAAAGTAAGCAATAGGAGGGGTAGAAACTCGACCTTCTAAGAACGCTCATATAAGAGAAAGTTGTGATTAAATCTTGTCTTATGCTCAATGACTGTGATATGAATGTGATACAAGTGATGCATGGATGGACAGGTTAGTGACATTGTGTTATGGTTTTAAGACAAACCATAAACAGAGGGAATGTAGAATATTGCATATTCTATGTTTCTATTGATTATGTATAGATTGACATAAGTAACAGATGGTATCAAGTCACAAGGCTTTGCCTGAGAAGTCTGGATTGTAGATTGGGGATCTTGCCCTTATATGGATAGGGTTATACTCTGAATTTATTACAGTCATATCTATATAGAATAGTGAACAAAGGAGCAAGGTTCTTCTACTTGTCAGAATGTCTAACTATATAGAGACTAAAAATTATGTATAAGTGGAGCGCTGATAAAATAGAAAGAAAGGAGAGTAGGGTAAAGGTAAGCAAAATAGGAAACCTAACAACCTATGTAGTATAAAACATGTACATAAATAAAATATACCCTTCTCTCCTAATTGATCTATTAGGAGAGAAGGGTATATTTTATTTATATATAGAGACTAACTCTCCCTTCAGGAGTCCAGCAATTACCATCTGCTGTTGAACATCCATTATCCTGTAACATCCTGTGTTGTTTTATATCAGTAATTGTAAGAAGAAACCTGTAGAAACCTTAAGATTGCATATTAGTATTATTGGTTAATATATAGACGTATATTAAAGGAACACTCCAGGCACCCAGACTACTTCTGCCCATTGGAATGGTCTGATTGCCAACTCCCATCACCCATAACCCTGCAAGCGTAATTATTGCAGCTTTTATAAACTGCAATAATTACCTTGCAGGGTTAAGTCCTCCTCTAGTGGCTGTCGATCAGACAGACACTAGAGGGACTACCGGGTTCTTAAAACAGGAAAAGTGCTTGAAATGACGCTGGACGTCCTCACGCTATGCATGAGGATCTCCAGCGTCGCTGGAATCCCCATAGGAAAGCATTAAATAATGCTTTCCTATGGGGAGTAGTGATGTCCCGAACGGTCCGCCGAACAGTTCGCCACGGACTCCAGTCAGCAGACCCTCCCTCCCAGACAGCTCACTAAGAATGCAGCTTCAAAATGGATGCTGCCCAGGAGGTGGGAGGGTCTGCTGCTGATTGGCTGGAATGTGTATGCTGACTGGAGTCCGCGGCGAACCGTTCGGGACATCACTATTGGGGAGGTCTAATGCGCGCACGAGGCTATTGCCGCGAATGCGGTCTCCCCCGCTGGCTGACGTCTGCAGGGAAGGAGCATAGGCGGAGCCTGACCCGACGCGGAGGGATATCGGCGCTGGATTCAGGTAACCCCTTCAGCAACATGGAATGGGGGGTGGGCACTGCAGGATTCTGCAGTGCCAGGAAAAGATTCGTTTTCCTGGCATTGGAGAGTCCCTTTAACATGGAGAAACGTTTACCCAAGAAGAAATATTTTAATCAATGTGTAAAAATACAGAATTTATTACGGAAACGGACATCAAATAGAGCTTCACCAAATGCACATCTTATATAGATAGAATGACAAGATAGAATGTGCAGATTTATATAATACCTGATTAAAGCAAACCATCACCGTATAAAGGAAGAAGTAATACATATAAAGTATCTTGTATATATATTTAGAGTTGTTTTCTGCACCTGCAAGGATATGGTTCAAACTGGTTATCAAAAAGTCCCTAACCACATGTAGCAAAATATGTATGCTTAGCAAAATACAATTTTAACCCATTCAGGAGCTGAACTGCAAACATAGTGGACTATATAGTTATTCTAACTTAAATTTGAAATACACTGGATTCTTGGTTTAGTGAATAGCCATGTGCTTAGGTTGCCTGGGGCTGGCTAGCACTGTTCTACAGTTTAATGTCCTGCCATTTTATAACAGAGTATTGTAAACTGAGCTTCTAGCCCGTTAGAAAGCCCCCCTCCCCCTTTCTTGGCTACACTGATAATGTAGAATTGTAATTTTTTTTTTTTTTTGCTTGCACCATGACATTACAATCAGCTGTAATGGCCATGGTTCTTGGAGAGCCCTTTTAAAACTAAACCTGCACACTAAAATCTCCCAAATTCCCCTAAAGAATGAATAAGTTCATGAAAGAACAAACATTTTAACAGTTAAATTCACTGAGAGTGGAGAGAGGGTGAATTATGGTGGTACCTTCCTGCTCCATCCGCTTACAATGCAGGCTGAACGAGCCAAGTTGAGTTACAAAGCAGAGCGGATACCCTCTTGTCTTGGTCCCACTCAATATGGGGGGGAACCATAAACATAGAATACGGGGGGGCACTGCGCAACCTGAAAATGGAGTGTGCAGCATGTATCCCCTTCCCGCCTGTCAACCTAGCTCAGAACGTTCCCAATCACTACTTTATTGCCCTTTATTCTGCTGCATAATGCAACTTACCTTCAGCTGCCAGTGATCTCTGAGAGAGTTGCATGTGGCTTTCGAGGAACACAACTAGCATATCTTGTTTCTGTATAGTGGTGTTCTATCAAATTTCCCTACCCCGTTAGAAAACCCTACCCGCGTCACTTCCGGTGACGTGACGTTGGGATGGGGGGGGGGGGTGTGCGCCGCCGCGCAGGCGCACACAACCGAGGTAGGGATTTTTCACTTTGAGGAGCCCCTGAAGGCATAGTGCGCACGCGCGGCACTATCGTAGTTACAGCGCGCGTGCGCACTTGGGGACATGGAGCGCTTCACACACCGCGCATGCGCAGTATAGGGGTAGGGAAATCTGATGGCCATTAAGCCCTGTGAAATCTCCCTACCCCTATACTGCGCATGCGCGGACTCTGGTCGTCTGAGTAAAGCCTTTTCTGGGTACAGGTCAGTCTGCGCTGTATGGGGGCGTCTGCGCTGTATAGGGGGGTCTGCGCTGTAGGGGGGTCTGCGCTGTTTAGGGGGGTCTGCGCTATATATGGGGGTCTGCGCTATATATGGGGATCTGCGCTGTATAGGGGGGTCTGCACTGTATAGGGGGGTCTGCGCTGTATATGGGGGGGCTGCGCAGTTTATTGGGGGGGCTGTGAAGTATATTGGGTGGCCTGTGTGTTAAATGTGGGGGGCAGTGTGTTAGATGGAGGGGCTGTTTGTTACATGTGGGGGGGCAGTGTATTATATTTGGGGGCTGTGCGTTAGATGGGGAGCTGTACAGTACGTGTGGCCTGTGTGTTAGATGTGTAGTTTCACTGAAAAATATTTATTTCCTAGATATCATATGCCATGGCATGCTTTTTGCTATGAAACCGCTGCCATCTAGTCACTCGCCAGAGAAGGATGAGAAACTGCACCCCAGCGAGAGGGACAGCCCCACATCTGCAACCAAATCCGTCGGTCACCAAATTCAGTAATCTCCGTCTCTTTGTGCATTGTGTATGTATGGTACTCCCAATTCTTATATTTAATCCGGTGTGTCTCCCACAATCTTTGTGTCTGTCTGTTGTATGTATGTGGCACGCAAGTCTGCATGCACTGTGTCTGTTATGCCAGTTACTCTAACCAGTTTATTTCTTTTTGTGTGTGTCACAGCTCTGACAAGCATGTTCTCCTATGGGACACGAAGTACATGAAGAGGAATGAAGAAGCCCATGTTTGATGCTCGTCTCCAGGGTGGAGTATTGAATTTATAACTAATGAAGTGGCATCTGACACATGATAAGCTGCTCCTGTTTGCACAGCAACTTCAACATTGTGTACTGTGATCACGGCATAGTTCAGAGGTAGGTAACCTTGGGCAGTCCAGATGCTGTGAATTACATCTCCAATAATGCTGGCAAACCATTATGGGAGGTGTAGTGCAAAACATCTGGAATACCGAATGCGGATGAATGCAAAGTATGGTGTGTGTGAATGGTCAGTAACAAGGGTTGAAGCCTTGACGTGGCGTTACTGCTCACATGTGTATTCATGTGCCAATTCAACCAATGTGAGTCACTGTAATACTTATAAGGTAACCAAAAGTACTGTGATTGTGGAGAATGAAATGCCTGTATCACCTACACACTGTTTACACTGTGACCATATCTCCTACACACTGCTTACACTGTGACCGTATTTCCTAAACACTGCTGACACTGTGACCATATCTCCTAAACACTGCTTACACTGTGGATAGATACAAAAAGATATGGAAGGGCTGCGCCAAATAAGGGTAGATAGTCCAGTAAAGTATTGCTAGGGTGTCAATAGATGGTCTAGGATACTTGATAGAGTTCCTCTGTGGATGCGTCTGGTGTAGACCGTTCCGTATATGTAAATACAAGAGAGGTAGAGGCGACTAATGGTATAGTATGAAAGTTCAGGGTGTGATAGGTAACAAAAAGTAAAGAACTCACATTCAAGAGAGCTATGGCCAGCTCTGGTGTGGATTGCGTACAGCGGTATAATCCCCGCTTATGGGATATGTAGGGAGGGGGTCTCCGTCAACACAGTCTGGTAGTCCAGAACTCGGAAAAGAAAGACAGAAAGCAACAATAGTGCTCTCAATTTTGATGTGGTTCAATGTGCAGATAAGAAGAGGTAAAAAACTCACATTTGAGGGAGCTATGGCCAGCTCTGGTGTGGATAGCGTACAGCGGTATAATCCCCGCTTATAGGATATGTAGCGGCGATACGTCCGTCAGCACCGTCTGGTGATCCAAGGCTCCAATATAGAAGAATAAAAAGCAGCAATAGTGCTCTCAATTGTGATAGGTTAAGAGAGTAGTAGAGAAAATAAAATAATACTCACAAAGATAGAGCAGAGGTACTGCTCTATGGATAGGCGCCGGTGGTATGATCCCCACCTAGGATTTCTTGGAGTACTGGAACTTTAAAATTGCCAGTGGAAGTAAAAGTAACCAGGAAAGGTTAAAATGCCAGGAATAGGTAAAAAAGTTGTTTAAAGTGCATAAAGAGTGCAATAAAAAGAGGATTGGTACAATAAAGTAGCCAAAAAACTTTTATTGATCTAAAATACACAGTAAAATACAGAATTAATAACCATAAACGCGTTTCACCATAAGTGGCTTCTTCAGAATGGAATAAAAGTAGTAACCTGGCAGGGGTTGTTTAAATAGGGCTATGTTAATTTTAAAATTGCGCCAAAAGTGTAATTGGCCAATCAGAGACAATTTTTAAAATCACTTTTCAAAATTAGGATTCAAGAGTATGGGAGTGATGTTATAAAGGTGATGAGTCCATTTAAATTATTTAAATATGAAAAAGAGGGTGAGAAAGTTGTTTTTTAAAGAGAAAGAAAGAAAAAAAACAGTTGTTTGATTAAAGTTCATTAAAAAAAAAAGGGTACTGGACTATCTACCCTTATTTGGCGCAGCCCTTTCATACCTTTTGGATCTATCCACCGAAGGACCCGAGGGGTTTTCCTTCATTTGGGTTGCTGCCTACCTTGACTAATTTTGTGATTACTAGCGCTGAATTCTTTTTGTGTTTATCTACTGCTTACACTGTGACCGTATCACCTAAACCCTGCTTATACTGTAAGCACAGATATGCTTTTATTCAAAATTGAAAGCGCTCGATCATTCTTTCTATTCTACGCCTCCAATCTTCAACATTGAAATTGTCATTTCTAATAATATAAAATAAGTAATATGCTTTCTGGTTACGATTTGGTGGGTTGTAACTATATTTTTTATTTTTACAGTTCCAGAGGGAAGGAGCAAACCGCTTTGAGGAGTCCCTGCATAAGAGACTATTGGATACTGAAGGGCTGTACTGCAGTGTCGGCTCTAGACTTGGCGAGGCCATAGGTGAAACTCATACATGAGACCCCACCGAGAACACCATTATTGAAGAAAAAATAGCAGTTCACTTTGTGTATAAGAAGCTGTAGATATATTGATGGTGGAGCTCAGTGGTGTATCCTGGTTTTGTGCTGCCCTAGGGAGGACAAAACTCAGGCGCCCCTCTCCCCCGCCACCCCCACCCATCCCTTCCCCCCGCCCCGCCTTCTAAATACACACACATTCACTGACAGATATGCATACATTAGCTAACAGAAACAGACACACTCACTAACAGACACAGTCAGACACACAAACACACTAACAGACACACTCACACTCTCTAACAGACACACTCAAATTTTTTTTTAAATTTACCCCCCCAGCCTCCTTACCTTTGCTAATGCTGGGGGGGGTTCTCTATCTCCCTGGGGTCTAGTGGGGCTGCCGGTCGGGCTGCTGGGCTGGTTGCTGGGGGGGCAGACGGGCAGCTAGTGAGGGAGCACTTCCTCTGAGTTGTCTGCTCAGCTCCCTCACGCGCCGCATTGTGAGGCTGGGAGCCGGAATATAACGTCATGTTCCGGCTACCAGCCTCAATCTGTGGCGCGCGAGGGAGCTGAGCAGACAGCTCAGAGGAAGTGCTCCCTCGCCATGCCGCCCGCCATCCCAGCATGTCAGTTAGCCACAAGGCTAACAAGACATTTGCCCTGGGCATTTGGGGGCGGCAAAAAAAGCCGCCCCCAAATGCCCAGGGCAAATGTCTTGTTTGCCTTGTGGCTAAAACGTCCCTGGTGGAGCTTGCAGCACTGGATACACAGAGCTAGTCTCTGTTTACATCATTGCATTGTCTACCTGAGTGTGTGTATCTGACAGTGAGTATCCTTGTATCTGTATGTATGTTTCTCTGAGCATGTGTATGCTTGTGTACTGACTGGCCTTTGGCACTGAGTTTATGGCGATGCTATGTTTTATGACGGTGTGTATAATGATTGCCTATGGGGGGGTGACAGGGTGAGTAAAGGGGTAACTGGCAGGGTGAGTGTAGAAGAGCAGGAGGGTGCCTGCGTGTTGAGGGTTGACGGTGTGCATGGAGGGAGGTGCCAGAGTGCGGAGAGTGGTGGCCGTGTGGGGAGGGTGACATAGTGTGAGAGGGTGGGTGATGAGGTGAGGGGGGAATGACAGAGTAAGAGAGGGGTAACGTAATGTGAGAGTATGGGTGACAGAGTAAGGGTGAGTGAGAGTGAGGGTGGGTGACATAGTGTGAGGAGGATGACAGAGTGAGGGGGTGATGGTGAGGTGACCGTAAGAGGGGGGTGACAAGGGGTGATGAGGTGAGGTGACAGTAAGGGAGGGGTGACAGGGTGAGAGGGGGATGACAGAGTAAGCTGGGGGTGACAATAACAATATCTGATATTAGGCCACATGTGCAATTATTATGTAATTAATGGACAACATACTTTTTCAATTTTGTTAAATTAGAAATTAAATATTGTTTGTCTTTTTTATATTGCCACTTTAAAAAAAATTAAAACTCTTAATTTATAAATGTACAGTAATTTGTCTGTAATAATGTCAACTTGTTAATTATTGTGGGACAGTGGAGAGCAAACCCAAACTGGGACTCTACTAAACAATCCAGGACTGTTAGGAAATATGGCTTTGTAACAATATATGATAATTTATGGTGCATATAGGTCCTCTTGTCACTGTGCCTATGCATAGTTTTGCTTATAAATGTGATGACTTTCAAAAGATAGCAATAAGCATAGTAAGAAGTTGCTCTTTAAAAGCCCACATCATCTCGTTTAAATGGTTTGGGTGCAGTGCCAATGTCCCCTTAACCCTGCAATGTTAAATATTGCAGTTTCTGAGAAATTACAATGGAACGCAGCTAGTGATGGTATTATTTGGAGTAAAGTAACACAAATCGCATGTTAAGGTGTCAGCAAAATACTTTATTTCTTCAAAGTTAATATGCATTTTAGACTTTATATGTATAGTGGAAAAAATATAAAAGTCAAATTTGGAAACTGGTTAAGAAAAGTCACACTGTGGTATCCAAGAAGGAGAAAGTTCAATCACATGTAAAGAAAGGCTGTATGGCATTGGGAAGGTAGTATCTTAATAATATAATGGTCTATTTCCCTGGACGGTCCACGATTCTTAATCACTGGAAAATGAAGGTTACATCATGTCTGCAGCATGTGTTCCGAAACAGCCATATGGACGTTTTCTATAGAAGAAGGTAATCTCTTCTGTTTGAGCAGGTCGAGGTTTATGGTGGTGGGTTTGTCTCTGGCACTGGAACCATCAGTAAAGGAGTGTAAAATTGAGAGGATCACCTTGTTCTTCCCACAAATGTAAGAAAACACAGAACAGAAGATTGAGGAGAGTGGTTAACAAATCAATGAAACCGCAAACACTAAAACTAACTTGAAAAAAATAACATTCACAGTGTAAGCAGTGTTTAGGCGATAGGGTCACAGTGTGAGCAGTGTTTAGGAGATACGTTCACAGTGTCAGCAGTGTATAGGAGATACGGTCGCAGTGTATAGGAAATACGGTCACAGTGTCAGCAGTGTTTAGGAGATACGGTCACAGTGTCAGCAGTGTTTAGGAGATCCGGTCACAGTGTCAGCAGTGTATAGGAGATACGGTCGCAATTTATAGGAGATACGGTCACAGTGTCAGCAGTGTTTAGGAGATACGGTCACAGTGTCAGCGGTGTTTAGGAGATCCGGTCACAGTGTAAGCAGTGTATAGGAGATACGGACACAGTGTCAGCAGTGTATAAGAGATACGGTCACAGTGTCACCAGTGTTTAGGAGATACGGTCACAATGTCACCAGTGTTTAGGAGTGTTTAGGAGATACGGTCACAGTGTCACCAGTGTTTAGGAAATACGGTCACAGTGTAAGCAGTGTTTAGGTGATACAGGCGTTTCATTCTCCACAATCACAGTACTTTTGGTTACCTTATAAGTATTACAGTGACTCACATTGGTTGAATTGGCACATGAATACACATGTGAGCAGTAACGCCACGTCAAGGCTTCAACCCTTGTTACTGACCATTCACACACACCATACTTTGCATTCATCCTCATTCGGTATTCCAGATGTTGTGCACTACACCTCCCATAATGGTTTACCAGCATTATGGGAGACGTAATTCACAGCATCTGGACTGCCCAAGGTTACCTACCTCTGAACTATGCCGTGATCACAGAACACAATGTTGAAGTTGCTGTGCAAACAGGAGCAGCTTATCATGTGTCAGATGCCACTTCATTAGTTATAAATTCAATACTCCACCCTGGAGACGAGCATCAAACATGGGCTTCTTCATTCCTCTTCATGTACTTCGTGTCCCATAGGAGAACATGCTCATCAGAGCTGTGACACACACAAAAAGAAATAAACTGGTTAGAGTAACTGGCATAACAGACACAGTGCATGCAGACTTGCATGCCACATACATACAGCAGACAGACACAAAGATTGTGGGAGACACACCGGATTAAATATAAGAATTGGGAGTACCATACATACACAATGCACAAAGAGACGGAGATTACTGAAATCTGTGACCGACGGATTTGGTTGCAGATGTGGGGCTGTCCCTCTCGCTGGGGTACAGTTTCTCATCCTTCTCTGGCGAGTGACTAGATGGCTGCGGTTTCATAGCAAAAAGCATGCCATGGCATATGATATCTAGGAAATAAATATTTTTCTGTGAAACTAGGGTTGTACACATCTAACACACAGGCCACACGTACTGTACAGCTCACCATCTAACTCACAGCCCCCAAATATAATACACTGCCCCCCCACATGTAACAAACAGCCCCTCCATCTAACACACTGCCCCCCACATTTAACACACAGGCTACCCCAATATACTTCACAGACCCCACAATATACTGCGCAGCCCCCCATATACAGCGCAGACCCCCCATATACTGCGCAGACAGCCCCCCGTACAGCGCAGACCCCCCATATACTGCGCAGACCCCCCTATACAGCGCAGACCCCCCTAATACAGCGCAGACCCCCCATATACAGCGCAGACCCCTCCATACAGCGCAGACCCCCATCCAGCGCCAGACCCCATATACAGCGCAGACCCCCATACAGCGCCCCCCCATATACTGGCGCAGACCCCCTATACGCAGACCCCCATACAGCGCCAGACCCCATTTACAGGCGCCCAGATCCATATACAGTGCAGACCCCCATATACAGCGCGAGACCCCCCGCCCACAGTAGCAGACCCCCATATACAGCACAGACCCCCATGCCCCCATATACTGCGCGGACGCCCCCGTACAGCGCAGACCCCCCATGGCGCAACCCCCATACAGCACAGACCCATACAGCGCGAACCCCCATATACAGCGCGAACCCCCAGCCACAGCGCCAGACCCCCATATACGGCGCCAGATCCCCATATATAAGCGCGGAACCCCCATTCAGTACGAACCCCCATACGGCGCGGACCCCCATACAGCGCCAGACCCCCATATACTGCGCGGACTCCCCCATCCAGACCCCTATACAGCACAGACCCCATATACAGCGCGAACCCCAACCTGCCTATACAGGCGCCAGACCCCCTCCCATACAGCGAGCCCCCCCATACAGCTCAGACCCCCATATACAGCGCAGACCCCAATATAATAATGTACTAAAACCCCCCACTCCCCAATATAATGCACTGAAACCCCCCTTATATAGTACCCCCTCTCCTCAGATGGTGAGTGTTGGGAGCAGGCAGAGACTGACCTGTTCCCAGAAAAGGCTTTACTCTAACGATCAGAGTCCGCGCATGCGCATTATAGGGGTAGGGAGATTTCACAGGGCTTAATGGCCATCAGATTTCCCTACCTCTATACTGCGCATGCGCGGTGTGTGAAGCGCTCCATGTCCCCAAGTGCGCACGCGCACTGTACCTCCGACGGGAGTACTGTGCCGCACGTGCGCACTATACCTTTAGGTTCTCTCCTCGAAGTGAAAAATCCCTACCTCGGTTGTGTGCGCTTGCGCGGCGGCGCACCCCCCCGTCCCAACGTCACTTCCGGTGCGGCTTCGTCACCAAAAGTGACGCGGGTAGGGTTTTCTAACGGGGTAGGGAACTTTGATAGAACAACGGCAGCAACACAGCGGTGGACAGCAGGAATGAATGCCGCGAGGACCAGGAAAGGAATGAGGAAAGGTGACCAGAACCAGTGTTATGCAACGCTAAGAGAGAGTAGTGGCTGAAATAGAGGACCATGTCCCTGCCACAACTGCAGGCCAAGCCTTCGCATTTATCCCTTCTGTGAAAAAAATAATACTCCCCTATTCTGTTTTCAACCATTGCTTTCAATTGTCTCTTCCTTCTGCCCTTTGAAAAGCAAAACATTTTACAAAGCAATTCACTCCATCTTTTTAGGGATGGATGGGCCTGCTACTGATATATATAGATTTTTTAATGCATCATGTATATAATGCATTAAAAATAGGGTATCATTTTATTCAGTGGTTTACCTTTAAGTTGAAAAATTTGAAGGTCCGGATAATGCCCATAAAACAAAGAAGAGGGACCTCCCACTGGCCCTTACTGGAAATGAGCCGTGTGCGGTTGGTTTTCCTTTTGTCAACTTATTTCCTTTGTATCCAGTGAGCTGTGAGATGGGAGGAATTAAATAAAATATTTAAGAGAAGACCTGGTGCTTTTATTCTTCTACACACGACCCATGCACGGTAGGTAATATTGTATACAAGGATATCCTATATACAAGGAGGGAGCATCAGACTCCTACCAGTACTGTGCTGGATATTGCCAAGTTCCTTGGCATTCAGATGAATCAGCCTATTAGTCAACCTATGGTGGGCAATACTACAAGTCACTCCCAAATTAACCCCCATAGTACCATGGGACACCAAGTCCCCAGGCCTCACCAGGACTAATATTAAACAGCTAGTGGTCCATATTTGGCTATCCCTAAAATTAAAAGTAAATTACCTAATCCAACGCTGCCCTTGGTGTCCTCATCTTTTGCCCTTGGAATCCTTCAAAAAAAGAAATGGAAGGCCCGACGCAACTTTAATAAAAACTAGCACACAAAACAGTATATCCAACAAGATGACTGGCTTAAAAATTAACTAGCAATGTTCTATCTTGTGCTGTTAGAGCACAGCCCTGGTGTAAATAAACAGGAATAAGCGCTCACTTAAAAAGGATCGGCAGCAGAATTCCCAAGATCTCACTGGCTTTACAAATAGTGACAAACAGGGTGATGAGCCGCACCCCCATAAATAAATAAATGTGAGGATATATTAAACTTAGTGTATATATAAGAAAGGATAGATTGACATCAATTTCTGTAATCATTCTCCCTGGTGTATCCTGCATATTGTAGGTGGGGATAATACCACCAACGCTTTTCATACCAGAGCAGGCCATTGCTTTAGATATTGTAAGTAGGATATAACTTTTTTCTTTTTACTTTGTGTACGAATATACTACACCATAAGACCTTTCTCTATTGTGTTTTCTCATATATATTGTACGGCAAGAACAATAGAGCTACATATAGCCATTGAAAGCGATTGTACCGTCCAAGCGAATTACAGCACAGCTCTCAGTAGCTCAATCAAGTGTGAGTTAGCACTTTACACACCTTACCCAAAATAGCCCAAATTATTGCTACATTCTGCACTATTTTTTTTGTCTATTTCTGCTTCCCTTTAAGGTTACAGAAGCTATCTGATTCCAGCATATATTGTCCAAATATAAATTGATGTAAAAATATCCTCTCTTATATATACACACTAAGTTTTGTATATCTTCACATTTTTTTTCTTATCTTTTTTTTGGGGGGAGGGGGAGTGGCTCATCACCCTCTTTGTCACAGCCCTGGTGTATATTGCTGTTACTCACCAATCAAAAACTAAATATTATAGGTAAATAGTCTTGTTTTTCCACTTATTTATTCTATTTTCAACTTTTTGGGATTGTGTAATACAGGGATACAGGGGTCAGCAACCTATGGCACATGTACCATGCACGGCACTTGAGGTGCCTTTGCACGGCACTCAAGGCTGCCAGACCCAAACAGAATTCAGATATTTGCTAGTGCAACCCGACCTGTGATTGCAGTTGGTTATGGACAATCCTCAAATTATGCATTTCAACACTTAGAGGAACTGATCTCAGATCACTTCCTCACAGCACTTTTGAATAGGAAGTCACACTAGAGTAGTGTAGCCCATAGCAGCTATTGCAGCTTCTGCCCTTGACCTTCACCCACACTGGTAGATATACACAGAGCTGCAGAAGATGCCTCTTCCTCATACTAATAATACAAACAGGCCACCTACAAACACAAATACACAATCCTCACAAACACACCATTGACAATCCACATACATGCACACAACCCCACTGGCATCATCTCACACACAGTTACACAAGCAGCCCTCATACACAACCCGCAATCATAGATATATACAATACCACTAACTACTCATAAACATATAAAATATTAGAGCCCATATACACACAACTGCAACATTACAAAGCAACTGCAGCACTTATAATTAACACAAGCAAAATACCGCAACATACACACATAATTGTTAAAAAAAATAGGACTGGCACGCCAAGGGACTTCAAGATCTTGATTTGGCACATTATTACTAAAAGGTTGCTTACCCCTGGTGAAAGAGATATATTAAGTTATACATGACTTAACTATACTGGCTTCCCATTTGGGTTAATATTAAAAAATATTCATTCCTGCCTACATAAGTGTTTTTTTGTTTTCTTTTTTTACTTATCTAGTCTAGGGAACTGTATATTTATGATTGTTTTAATTTTTCCTTATCTACTATAGAAATCTTAACCCCTTCTGACCAGAGGGCGTACAATTACGCCCTATTTTAGGCGGCTCTAAACGCCGCCGGGCGTAATTGTACGCCCTCCGGTTTTTGCCTACTTACCCGGTCGCCCCCCCGCGGTAGATCCTCCTCTTCCGGTGCCCCCCGGCCATGTGAGAGTGGGGTCCTTGCGAGGACCCCACAATCACATGGCCGGGTAGGCTGCCTCCTGCATTGCCAGCAGGGGGGCTGCCTGTAATGACAGGTGGTCCCCCTGCTGGCTGAAAATAAAATTAAAATAAAATGTATCAGTGTAAAAAAAAAATATATATATATATATATACTTAGATCATTTATATATATATATTATATATATATATATATATGATCTAAGTAT